ATATAATTAGTTTTATTTATAAACATGGAGAGCTAGTTTTGAATGCATTAAAAGGAAAAATGATATTAAGTTGTTCAATATCTAGAAAAGGATTATACAGTCAAATTTTCAAGTATGAATAATCATTTATATAATTTAATCATGTGAGTTTAAAATAAAGTTTATTATGTTCATTTAAATATTTTCGTAATTGATAATATTTTGAAAAGAGATCCGTCTCCTTACATATTGTATGCATATTCTTTTTATGCAGATTATAATAGAGATCATTATGAAAACATGTAACAATACAAGTACGAATTATGAATATATGAAGTTTAGTGAATATCAATTTAAGGGGCTGTTTGGTTGTCTGAAAAAGAAATGCAGTGTAAAATAAATACAATGTAAAGTAAATGTAATGCATTTCGAATATTTTGCTCTGTTTGGCTGTCTGCAAAAGAAACGCAGGAGTTTTATTTCCCTTGTTTGGTGAGGTATATCCAGATAAAGTAAAATTAACTTTTTTTAATTATTTTTTATAGGGAAGAGAACTACCTTCGATTTAAATTTGACTTAAAAATATTAAATTTGACTTATATTTAAATATAAATTTTAATTTAAATTTAAATATATTTGGAAAGTTTAAAAAAATATATTTAAACTTTGACTTAAAAAGATTTCTTTAAAATTTTTTTAAATCTACACTAAAAAAATCATATATATCCTGAACTCCGGCCATCCTCTCGCAAGCACTCCGGCAAGCCACCGCCGCCTCGCCTTCTCTAATCCTCAGCTCCGCCGGACACCTCTGGTTCAAATCCACCACACACCCAGTCGCTGCACACCTCCCCTTCCCCCCTTCGACGATCATCGCCAAGTTGAATCCATCAACAAGGCTAACATCGTAGAAATCAATATTGTTTCGCTCTCCTCACCCTCCGCCACCGTTGCTGTCTTCACGATCTGGTCGTGCGCCGCCTCGTCATATCTCGGTAGAGCATTCTCCCCTGACAGTCCCACTCCGGCTCCCATCGCCGCAGCAGCCACCTGCCTCACCAGCTCGTCCGGCCGGCACATCGCCTCTTCGGGCTGTTCAAAATTCTTCATTTCCACACAGGTGAAGTTCAGCACCGCGCCGTGTCGCCCAAGCATCTCGGCGATGGGCTTGTGGTGGAATCGTGTGTTGTAGTACCCGGCGGTGAGCTCTGGAGCATGGGACCTCGTGCCGTAGTGCCAGTGGATGCCGGCGACCTTTACGGAAATCTTAACGCCAGTGCCGGCGAAAATAGCAGTGGCGGCTGAGAGAACCCGTTCGCCGTGGTCGAGAAGAAGGCCGGAGTACCAGGAGAGAAGAACGAAGGAGAATAGTACTATGAGTGTTTAGCTCTGTGTTTTTGGGAGCAGACGAGGCACGTTTTTGGAGAGATTTGAGGAGTTGATAGAGGCGGAGGCGGATCCGATGAAAATGTCGAACTTCCGATCTGACAGGCGAAGGGAACTTCGTCGAAGGAGCGAAGTCGAACAAGATTGGAACGTCGTCGAATGATCGAAGTCGAAGAAGAACGAAGGAGCCTCTCGTGCAATGAAGCCGAACAGCAGGACGACGACGACGATGCCAACATTTCTTCCGATGAATTTAAAACCCGCTCATATTGGACGGGTTTCTAATTCGCTCAAAACAGACTCCCTAATACACGCCTAATACTTCAGATGATTTCCTTTTATTCCGCTCAAAATTAACCAAACAACCAAATTTAATAAATACATGTAATTGTTTTAATTTACACGCCTAATTCAGGCAACCAAACAGCCCCTAAGTAAAATTTGACTATAAAATGATGTACAACTTACAATTGTAGATTAGACAAAAGGGTTCCCATGCATGCACTGTATTGTATGTGGGGCAAAATGGACCCCTAAAGAGTCAAAAGGGACCTCTATATTGTTTAATGTCGATAATGTCAGTTCTACATTGGATCCATTAAACATACTGATGAAAATTTAGCCAAATCTCTAAAATGCTAATATTGATATTTTGTATAGACTTCAAAAGAATTAAAGGTTAATGCTAAATGTGATTTTATATTATTTTATAAATAATGTTAAGTTGTTTAATTTATGATTTCAATGTTGTGAATTTAATAATGCAATTTAATTATTATTTAATTTGCAAAACTTATTGAGCCTCATAGCTCACAAGTTCTTTTTGTTATTACAGGAAAATGTCAATACATAATAAGTTGCAAGTTATTTTGTTTTCTACGCTAGTATTTACCTCTATTTATAAATATACAACTGAAGTATGTAGGCAGTTTAGTTGTGTACTGTTTTGAATTTCTTAGTGGCTTTGTAAATCTTTATGTTGTGAAATTTGGATTTATTAGATTCTTCCGTTTATGTAGTAAATGTAATGTTGTTGGATGTTTATATAAATATTCAAGTGATGAAAAGTATCATATATTCAGATGATGAAAAATGTTATGTTTATTTTCATGACACTTTATAATATTGATTAGGGGTATTATGGGGTGTTACATAACGTAATTAGGGTAAATGATTTTTATTGTTGTTGTCTAGTTTCAAGTGATTTAGGTATCTACGGATATAGTGCGATTAGTTGGATCTTATTTGAGGTTAAAACACTATTGCGAGTCCAGAAGTCATTAATTTGGGACAACCGAGTAAAAGCGGGCACCAATTCATCCCTTTCGATGCCTCTAGATGCTTGTTTTTTATTTTGCCTAAATTATATATATATATATAGGTTCGTCCCCTGTTGCTGGGTGTTGGTTCCAGTCCCCTGTATTGCTTCTTTGGGTTCCTCCTTGGCTGTTTTCCCGTGGCTGCTTCTACCCAGTTCCTATGCTATCTTTTGGGTGTTGTTTTGGCATGAATGCAGAGCTGTTTGGGTGCTGTTTTGCTTTGATTTCTGGACAGAATTCTGGATTGAATTTTGGCCTTCTATATTCCATAATTTATTGGGATTAATTAGTGGTATGATGGCTGTTTGGCCCTTTTCTTTACCTATATATAAGAGATATTTGTGGTTGTTTTAGAGAGTTTTTAGAGATGATATATGGCTGATTTTTGGACATGAAAACCTGAGAGTTTTTGGAAAAGCTTGAGAGCTTGTTTCACTTCTTCTTCTTCTACTTGTTGGGAAGGCTTGCGAGCTTCTCCACTCTTCGTCTTGGACTTCTAACCCCTTTCTTCTATTTGCAAGTTCGACGCCACCTGTATGCTTTTTCTCAAAGAAATGCAACTTTAGGAATGTTTGTTTATGTTTGTGTTTGTAAGCATCAAGAGTTGTAAGGTGTCGTTTTGTCTTTATCTTATAAAAGTTAAAATTTGTCTAATTTTTAGTATTTCATGTAATTTTACATTTCCTAGGAAGCGTATGTTTTTGCTTGCAAAAATTTGGGGCTTTTCCAAATTTTTTCTTGCATCAATTTGGTATCAGAGCAGGTTTGTCGAGTGACTCTTGATGAGTCATAATAGTTGTTGTGTGAGTCTTGTTATCAAGTGATTTAAATTTTGGTTAGTCTTCTTTTAGAAAAAAAATGAAAAAAGATAAAAACAGTGATCCAGTGGTGGATGGAAGTTAGTAAGAAAATCTCGAAGAAAATGTTCCAATGGATTGGTGGATTCCGACGCAAGGAGATTCAACAGATCCACTGCAAAATGAACTATACAAGCTTCAGTGGAAGATGCATTTGAGTACGGAGTAGTACATGAAGAAGAAACGACTTCTACAAGAACAATTCATGCTAGAGCGAGAGAATATCCTGAAGAAATATGAGGATGAAATTCATGAGCTTGAAGTGTCTCCTTTGCCTCGTCAAAAGAAACCTAAAACAACCTCATCGGGAGATGAGCTTTTCCAACCGGAGGAGAATTGACGTAGGCAAGGGGGGTGTCAAAATAAGTTGGGTTTTAAGTATTGGGAGCCACTTGGTTCTAGCTCATAAATGCTTAGTTTCTGCTTAAGTCAGCTCATTAATGAGCTTCTACTATTTTATCAGCTCATTAATGCAATTAATTATATTCATTTCCCCTTACTTTGGCTCTTTGGTTTCCCCCTCATTGGTTCTTCCCCCCATGGCCGGTTCTCTTCCCCTTTTTTGTGCTCCCTCGGTTTCTTCCTGGTGCTGTTCCCGTGGCTGGTTCGTCCCCTTTTGCTGGGTGCTAGTTCCAGTCCCATGTATTGCTTCTTCTGGTTCCTCCCTGGTTGTTTTCCCGTGGCTGCTTCTACCCGGTTCCTATGTTGTCTTTTGGGTGCTGTTTTGGCATGAATATAGGGCTGTTTGGGTGCTGGTTTGGTGTGATTTCTGGACAGAATTCTGGATTGACTTTTGGCCTTCTATATTCCATGATTTATTGGGATTAATTAGTGGTATGATGGCTGTTTGGCTCCCCTTTCTTTACCTACATATAAAAGATGTTTGCTGTTGTTTCTAAGAGTTTTTAGAGATAATATATGGCTGATTTTTTGACATGAAAACCTGAGGGTTTTTGGAAAAGCTTGAGAGCTTTTTCCACTTCTTCTTCTTCTACTTCTTGGGAAGGCTTGCGAGCTTCTCCACTCTTCGCCTTGGACTTCTAACCCCTTTCTTCTATCCGCAAGTTCGACGCACCCGTATCATTCTTCTCAAAGAAATGCAACTTTAGGAATCTTTGTTTATGTTTATTTTCATAAGTTTGTAAGAGTCGTTTTTATCTTATAAAAGTTGAAATTTGTCTAATTCTTAGTATTTCATGTAGTTTTCTATTTCCTAGGAAGCATATGTTTTTGCTTTTAAAAATTTGGGGCTTTTTCAAATTTTTGCTTGCATCATATATGGTCTCCAGCAGGAGAGAAATTAGAGTTCTCCCTCTTCCTCTTACTCCCTCTCTCTGTTGTTTTTCTATTTATAAAGCTCCATCTGTTTTCTATCCCCTTCTGTGGGCTTGAGTGCATGTCCATGCATTCTTTAACTATATCAGTATTTATATGTAGTAGGTTGGTATTGTGGTTCCAGGATTTTGAACCCGCTGGTGTTTGGAGACTACCCTGAGATAATGAAGAAAAATGCTGGCTCAAGGCTCCCATCTTTCACTAGTTTTGAATCCCAACAAGTGAAGGGCTCGTATGACTTCATTGGTCTTAACTATTACTACGCATTGTATGCGACTTATGACCCCAATATTTCCAAGGCAGATCTTCGAGATATAACTCTAGACATGTTTGCTAAATTCACTGGTATGCTTGTACTTGAGTTTTGTTTTAATTTATTTATATTGTTGTTTGGAGATAACCCTATATTTTAAAAGTTGGCATGCAATTCTTTTGCAGACATGAAGGATGGTACACCCATAAGCAGGGTGAGATTTCATGAACCTGCCAATTTAACTTGAGCTACTTTTTCTTTATTTTAGATTGTTATCTTATTATGGGATTCTAATATTTGTGTGTAAAACCAGATTCTTCCGCCCAGTCACCCCACAAAAGATTTTCATAGCCTTTGGAAATTGCTATATTATCTCAAAAACACGTATAACAACCCTTCCATCTACATCCATGAGAATGGTAAGTCAATATTTAACCCATGGGGTTGTAGTTTGAAGATTTTGCAATTTTGTTATTATTATTTATTTTTTGAAATAAAATAAAATATATTTGATATCTTATAAATGTGTTGTTTTTGTTTATTTATGCAATGATGTCGGTAATTGATGAAGCGATTATGACAGTGGTGGCATCTGATGATGATAAATATTTTTAAAGCGTTCAAAACAAGTAAAAGTTATTTTAAGTGTTTTTAATAATAAAAAAATCAAAAAAAGTTATGGATGAAAGAGTTGCTTAAAATTAGAAGATAAATATTAAAATGTATATAGCATTTAAATATAATTAGAAAATAATATTGGGTACAATTTTTTTCAGTATTTGTTTGTTTCCAATACTATTTAAACATTCCCTATTTTGAGATTTTTATTAAAATTTTGACCAATTTTCTTTTTATTCTAACAGAAAACTATATCAAGATAATACAGTTGCTTTCCATTATATAGATATTGACAAATGATTAAGGTTTTGTTTGAGATTGCTTAAATCTTTTTAAAGTAGCTTTTTAGTAAAAAAGTTTTTGAACTAAAAGTTTTTTTACTAAAAAGCTGCTTTAAAGAATAGTAAGAAAGTTGTCCTAAAAAAGCCTAAGAATGGTATATAACCACCAAATTTAAAGAAAGTCTGATTACCATGATAACGGTTGAATTATGTTTAGTGTAATGGTATGAATTTTCTTTCAGATTAAACCAGTGTTTAAGCTTTTACTTTTGTCATTCCTATTGCTGCTTGATTGTTATTTATGTTATTTAGGGTTTGGTTTTGGAGTTGTCGACACAATTAATGACTTAGGAAGGATATCCTTTTTAAGCGGTTTCATTGGAAGCGTGCTTGATTCTATAAGGTAATCTTGCAAGCCATTGATCTTAAATAATAGGATCCTTATTAAATATCATGTAAACTATTATTTTGTCTCCATTGCTTGCAGGGATGGATCGGATGTGAGGGGATACTTTATTTGGGCCTTTTTGGATGTTTATGAATGGATAACTGGGCTTACAGAAAGATTTGGGCTCTACCATGTAAATTTTGAGGACACTGAACTTGAGAGAACACCTAGGCTTTCAGCCGACTGGTACCGAAACTTCCTTAAAGATGGAGGAAAAATCATGATAGAAAAACTTTGCCAGCAAAGGGCAAAAGCTCAGTCGTCACAGTAAACAGTTATTTTCTAATGTTTTGAATCATTCTGTAACGTTCAGGAATTGTCATAATTTTTCAAACTTATCATTTTGCTCAGAGAGACTGTTTAATTTGCTTCGGATAAGAGAATTCTGATATATTGAATGTTGTTGAACTTGCTCAAAAATGCTCCAGAAATTTTTGGAAGCTAGTGGCAATTTCCATGAGAATATTTTGGGAAGTCTTTAGCTTTTATTCAGTCATTTGTAAATTTATGGATTGCCAGCATACGGTTCTTAAGAAGTCTTTTAACCCATGTAAAAATCCTGGTTTGTTTTTCTATCATCAAATGATTCTATAAAAGCATTAACAATTCACCATTGGACTCTCTTTTGATAATTTCAAAATTAAGGTTTTGTTTGAGATAGATTTTTATATTGCTTCTTAAAACAGAGTGTTAGTATAAAAAATTTAATTTTTGTATTAAAATTATGTTTTAAAAAGCAATAAAAAAGTAACCCCAAACAAATCCAAGGCTTAGGCTTCGTTCGGGACGGCTTTCTTATTGCTTCTTAAAGTAGCTTTCTAGTACAAAATTTTAAATTTTAATATTAAGAAGTTGGTTTAAGAAGCAGAAAAAAATAGTCACAAATAAGCCCTTATGGATAGCTTTTGGCTATTATTTTTTTTATTGCTTTCATATCTCCTTGATAATTTTATAATTATGCTTGTTCATTATAGGGCATTTTTGTGAAGGCGGTCTTTTAATAATATTTTTCTACTATACAAGAATCTAGTCACAAAAAATTCATTTCCTTTTATTTATCCACAAAAGTATACGTTACTGATTCTTGAAATTAGTCCTCGGGAACACAGAAAAATAGTGGGAAATACAAAAATGCCAAAACTATTTAAAAATCTAATACAAAAAAAAAAACACATATACACCAGCCTGACTTGGAAAAATAGCCTTATGTCTCTCATTGAAAAATAAATAAACATACAGTGCAGAAAAGAAAGTAATAGGACTCTATCCCTTATGTCTCTCGTTCAGAATTCCAAATCCTTATGCCTCCCATTCAGAACTCTTAGCCCTCTCGCCTTTCAGTACTCTCAACAATATTATAATTTTCACAATAGAATTCTACAGATATATATGTATATATGTATAACAAAACTCCAAACATAACTCTTGATGAACTCCTTAAATGAAGACAAAATATCATCAAGAGATGTTTAATATATAAATCATGCCACATAATATTACAGCTTAGCAATTAAACATATATATTAAAAAAATTAAAATAATTAAAAAAATAAATAAGGCTATTTACAAAATTTTAGAGACTTGCCCTCTCGGGAAAATTTTAGCGGTTAAACCCAATTAGGGGTGCAAACGAGTCGAGTCGAGCTCCCCAAGTCGAGCTCGACTTCCAGGTACCGAGCTCAAGCTCGACCTCTAACTCGAGTCGAGCTCAATATCCGAGCTTGAGCATGACTCATTTCATTGTCGAGCAGCTCACTTGTTGAGCTTAATTCGAGCTCAAAACGTCGTTGTGTAACGGAAAGGGATGGATTCAGATTACGGAATTCCTAGCGAGCTCGCGTCCCTGTCTTGCTGACATCCGTCGTCGTCGCGTCCGTTATCGTCCCAAGATCACTCATCATCGTCGTGTTCGCTGTCTCGTACTTTGTTGTCGTGTTTGCTATCGATTTCGCTTATGTCATCGTCATCGCATTTGCTGTCGAGGTCGGGTGTTGTCGTCTGTCGTCGTGTTCCCAGTCGAGGTCGGGTCCGTAGTTGCGTTAGCTATCGAGGTTGGGTTCATCGTCATCCGTTGTCACGTTCCCAATCGAGGTCGGGTCTCTCATCATTCGTCGACACATTCGCTGGCGAGGTCGCGTCCGTTTTCGTGTTCACAGTCGAGCTACTCGTAGAGTCGACGAGTCGAGTCTGACGCCTGTTCGAGCTCGATCTTGATAAGCCTTCGAGCTCGATAAGCTCGACTCGTCGAGCCTGTTACCGAGTCGAGTCCGAGCCGACTTGCGAGTCGGCTTGAATCTTCTGCACTCCTAGGGCTAAGCATCCATTTTAATTTTTCTTGAACGATTTATAAAAAATTAAAAGAGATATATGAAAAATTGCAATTTTATCCCAAGAATTTTATAAATATAATAATCAGTAAAGCTGAAAATTTAATAAATAATAATTTGAATATATTTATTTATTATTAAAAAATAATTTTGAGTTTATAGGAGATGAATACAATTGAATAGAGTTTTTTTGTTGGACTAATATAAGTTTCACGCTCAAAAAAATTGTTCGTGTTTTTTTTATTTATTTAATGAATGAATTGAACACCAACTTAGATGAAAGCATTGAGGCTGGATTGGTGGTTTTTGGCGGTGCGAAAACCCTAAGAACATCTCCAAGCGAACGGTTGTTTGTCGTTCTTCCATCGTTCCAACCGAGCGGCATTTCTTACACGATTTTCATCGCGGATGAATAGTGCGACGCCAATATTGGTGTTGCACTGTTCATCTTCACCATTTTTTGTGTCTACCGAACTTGCTGAAGAAACGCGCGAAAGAAGCGAACAACCGTTACGGGGCTCCAACTCGAGGTCAAACTCGAGTCTATCTCAAAATCTGAGCTCGAGCTTGACTCATTTCACTGTCGAGCAGCTCGTTGAGCTCAATTCGAGCTCAAAACATCATTTTGTAACGGAAAGGGATGGATTCAGATTACGGAATTCCTCGCGAGCTCGTGTCCCTATCGTGCCGACGTCCGTCGTCCTCGCGTCCGTTATTGTCTTGAGGTCACTCATCATCGGCATGTTCGCTGTCTCGTAGTTTGTTGTTGTGTTTGCTGTCGAGCTTTCTTATGTCGTCGTCGTCGCATTTGCTGTCGAGGTCGGGTGTCGTTGTCTGTCGTCGTGCTCCCAGTCAAGGCCGGGTCCGTAGTCGCGTTAGCTATCGAGGTCGGGTTCATCGTCGTTCGTCATCACGTTCCAAGTTGAGGTCTGGTCTGTCATTGTCCGTCAACGCATTCGCTGGCGAGGTCGCGTCCGTTGTCGTGTTCCTATTCGAGCTACTCGCCGAGCCTGTTACCGAGTCGAGTCCGAGCTGGCTTGACTCGGTTGCACCCCTAAACCCAATACAATATAACAAAATTTCACTAACTTGGAATTATACCAAATTATTAAAGATTGTGCATAATTATATTTCAGAGGTTTAGTTGTTATACAATCTTATTTTTTAATGCCTAAATATTTTTCTATAATTTTATAAAAATAAGTGTTTCAAAATTAAATACCCCACATAAATTTCAAAGAAAAAAAAACCTAAATGACCAGAATTATATTCTCTATAACATATCAGATGTTATATTGTAAAAGTTTTTCTGTTAAAAGTTATTTTAGTTTAAGCACTAGAAATTCATATTTTAAATTAGAAAAAACACAAAATTATTAAAAAATAAGATATGCAAATGCAACATAGATTGAGACAACTTTTAAAGCTAGGTTGTCAACTGAAAACGGCCTGAAAAGGCTCAAAACAGACTTTGTCTCTCTAGGAATCTCTCCCTTTCTCTCACTAGGCAACAACTTAAATGAAATGCATTGAATGGAATAATGGATTTGGATATTTTAAATATTAAAATTCGGTCTAGCACCGCGGAGCTCACTACAGCTCTCCCTCAAAGAGCCCACAGCACCGCGCCACCTCCATTGCCACCTTGCTAAATTAATTTACATTTTTTTTGAGAGCACCGGCACCGAAGCGCCACCAACCCATGCGACACAGTGCTTTAGAGGAAAATTTTAGATTTTCTCAAGCGTTCAAATAGACTATTGGGACCCATTTTTCAATCTCATGCAAACTCTCACATGCACCCAAAAAATTCTTAGACATATGCACAAAGGTTCAAATGCAAAAATTCTATAGATTACCTTGAATCTGATGGGTCATAAAGGGTTGACTGGTTCATCGACTTTACAGGTGCCACATATTCAAACTAAAGCCAAAATGAGAAGTCATTTTATATTAGAATTGGAGGAAATGCTAATGAGCCATATAAATAAAGAGTTAGCTGTAATACAATATTTATTATTTGTAGTTTTTACAATAGAGTACTGCTAGGATAAGTGATCTCCTAAAAAGTTATTGAGTGTTGGCATATTGAGTGTTTGCATTCATAGAGATGATGAAGAGAAATTTGATGCATTAATGATGCTTGAGCTATTTGTCACTTCTTGGATGGAAATTAATGCCATATAAAAATTAACTAGATGATTTTAATAAGTGAAAATTCTAAGGGTGTAAGTCTTCATATGTATATCTTAGGGTTTTTTGGTTATGTTAGATAAAGTTAGATAAATTATAAGGTTTAAGGATAATTAACATATGATAAGTTGCTTAAAATTGTTCAATGCTTATCATCACATTTACTTGGGAATTTATTTGGATTAATGTTCTATTTATTATTTTATTTTTCCATTTAATTATGTATGTAAAATAAGCTTAAATTATTTTATTTTATAATGATATTTACTTGGCTAATCATTATAATAATGAATATCTACATATATTAACAACTTCAAATGATTCTATGTAGTTCATTATTTATATTGAATAATTATATAAATAATCACCTAATTAGAGATAGTAAGCTTAATTTGAATATCAATAAATTTCTTTAATAGTGGTAGCCTTGTAGGTAAAATGCAACCTACCTCTCGCTGGACAACTTTAAGAATCTCTCTCTCTCTCTCTCTCTCTCTCTCTCTCTCTCTCTCTCTGTATATAATTATTTTTAAAATATATATATATATATATATATATATATATATATATATATATATATATCACTGTAGATGTTGTACATATCAGTGTAGAGATTGTTTACAATCATATAGGAGAGTATGTAGATGCGCGTATTCGAGTTGCATTCATTCGAAAGGGAGTTCGTTGGTGTTGAGCGTCTTTAGCCTAATGAAGGAGGTTTTTGTGTTTATTACTTAGGGTAGTGGATTTGTAATATGAGTGTTGAATTTAGTTTTGATATCATTGGTGTAAAATGATATAATTGGTATAGCTGGTGTTTTTTTTTTTTT